CTTTAGCATCCCTAGTAATCTCCCTATCCTCCCGTGAACGTAGCTCGCTAGCTTCGCGCCGACATCTAACGCTGAAGTTAATACCTTTACCTAAGAATCGGTAGCGATAAACATCTCTCGACTAAAATGACCTTTAAATATATAGGTATAGTAATATATTAACGATTAAAGTATAAAGAGATAATTCCGGAACGATAACTTATTCTATAAGAGCTAGAATAGATCCTAGCTAGTAGTACCGGCCTGAAATGTATTCAATACCCGCGTATTAATATATAATAAGTTCGGTACTAACTTATACGCCTTTTATAGTATACGCTCGATAGACTAGACTAACTTATAAAGTCGTAGGTCGTCGTTATCCGACCTAGGCGTAGTATAGGATATAGTAACGAATTTAGCTTCTAACCCGGCTAAGTACTAGTAGAACGCGCTCTTCCGTAGCTACGGCGAGATCTTAAAGACGTAGTTAGGTTCGCTAAGCTAGTAGTAGCGGGCCTCATCCTCTTTTATAGCGCTCTCTAAGCCGGCGGTAAGTGTCTAAGCTACGTTAGGACTAGGTTAACTACGGTCATAACTAGCGCTACCGATACGGTAACGGCCGCCGAAGCTAGTATTGATCCTACCGAGAGCTAGTGGCCCTAGTGTACTAGGTATCTCTCGCCGTATAATCTAGTAATCGGGGGCCTTAGCGAAGAAATACTATAGTATCACCTTACGATATATATACTACTCTCTCTACTAGCGCCGCGTATTAACGCTATACGCTTTACTAGCGTATCGCTCTAGCTTCTCTTTACTAGCTCGGAGATATCTATACGCCTCGGCGGCGCTATAAGCGAAGCCCTCGCGGAACTATAGCTCGTAGATAAATAAGCTATAATCTAATGGACGAGTTACCTCGGCCGCTACGTTCTATACTACTACCTAGCTAGCGATCTTTTTAGCTAGCTTACCTTTAACACTATGCCTCCGCTTGAGATGTTCGCTTAGATTTAAGCCTAGCGTGTAGTATATCTAGTGGACGGTGTAGAGAATGACCCCGAACTCTAAGAGTGGCCGTAGCTATTAAACTAGCGGTGTCGGGGCGGGCTACGACGTACTTCTACCGGTATCTAGTACATTATCATCTACTACCGACCCGCGTCTTAGGTCTAGGGAGTCGAAATTAAGCTCGGACGGCCCCTCGGGCATCCTAAATAAGTTATAACCCTTAAAACAATAGATGATTAATAGTATAGGGTGATATAGCGAAATTCTTCACTCTTATAACTAGACGCGAAAGTGATGGGGGATGACTAAGAGTTTTTGTTAGTGGACGCATCACCCGTGGATTAATGACCCGACCCCTCATGCTAAGACCTATTTTATATGTAGACGGGTCACCCGGCCAGACCAGAATAGAGTTAGGATCTTTCCCTTGCATTAGTCACATCAACTACTTACTAGGAGAAACGGTAGTGATCAATATCAAAATAGGTGACTTTGCGCCCTTCTGATCTTTTTGAGATGCATATGGCATATATCTGAATTTTTCTTCTTCACATTGGTTAGTTCTATTCTGCCTTGTCCATTTTTAAGCTAGCTCCGAGGTGCGGGCTTAGTAATCGCCAATGGCCAGTTGGGAAGGCTGGAGGATCAAAGCATTCCGCGATTTCTGTTCCCGAGAGAGGCCACAGGGCACCAAACCTCCTCTTAGCTAGGTCACACCTGCGGACTTCTAAAGTGAAGATTGACGATCTCATTCTTTGCAGGGTCTCCACCAACACGGGCTATACGTTCACTCAAACTCTCACTGTTCGGGTCGAAGAACGGTTTCTCTCCATAGATGGCCGTGCGCTTTCCTTCTCTAGCCGTTGGATCATAGCCGCCTGGAATGGCCCTGTGAACGACCGATCGATTGTCCCAGCTAAATGACGAAAATTTTTCGCAGTCAGTCTTTCTAGTTATTCTGAAATATTGTGTGTTGTGTAGAATTTTGTTTCCGACTCCAAAATCGCAACGTAATCATGGGTGCTGGAATCCTCAAAACAACGAATGCAAGCAAACAGGACTTACAATGCAACACTGCCCGGCTCCCATTTCCATCTGACTGTCAAGTCATCGGCGCTATGAAGATGGTCGCGCAGGAAATTTAGAGTGTGATTTGCTTCTTGTCCCTTGAGTTCCGATATGTGGATGACAAATGTCGGATTGTAAAAGAGAGACTTGAGCCGCGTAACGGGATGGGTGCGAATCTGCGAGATTTGTGAGTCGCTCTTGAGCTGCTCTTCTATTTCGTGGACCTTACCAATGGATGTTCTCGGCGCACGGGGCCACGGAATGGACGATAACCGTTGTTTAGCGAGTTGATGTATGATTGCTGTTGGTATTTCGTCAGTCAAAGTATGCCTCTGGACTCTGCGGTGGAAGACTTTGGATCCGGACCTCAGAACTGTGAACCGCATGCAATCCATCCAGGTATTTCTGATACGTCGGACTCAGTTTATCGTACAGCGCCGTTTGGCTGGTAAAAATCGTGTCGCCACCGGTCTCTGGAGTTCTAATCAATCGAAGCATAGTATAAGCCGGTGGGTTCGCCTCTTGCGAATGATCAGAGTGGTATTCTCCTCCGAAATTCGAGTACGCTCGAATATCACTGGAACTATTAGCTATATGTTTCTTGAGCTTGAGGCTTCCCATGTGTCTAAACTCACTTGTTATTTCCCAGGATGGTCACATGTCGAGGATCTTGTTGGTTGGGATCACGGTCTTGCTATAGGGGTTTCGATTAGCATTTCTTCAAATTGATATCAGACTTCGGCAGGCTCAGCTCACAATGCCATAGTGCTTTGTCAATTCATGTTGCTGGTCCAGGGTGATATCCTGATCCCTGAAAAAGACAACGCCCCTCTGAATCTTGGTCAGCGGCTAGAACCCAACACTGGACTATTGTTCATCAAACCTCAGCGACCAGTAATGCAAGCTCATCTTTCTGGCTATCGGTAAGTTGGCTCAATTGAATGCCCACAAGTTCTGTCCCGATATATGGGGTCAAATTGCGGATAGCTTTGACCGCACTCAGAAGAGATTTTTTCTCAGGATCAGCGAAAAAGGCTCGATCTTTAGGAGGCTCGAATTCTTTGACTGGCTCATGAGGAGGCTGATAGGTGAGGACGGCCTCGGTTATTCCAGTATGCGTAGCCATGACGATTGGGAGTAGGGTAGACTGTTGATTATACAACAATAGGATAGAGCTAATCGTCTGGCACAATCCCGCGAAGTTGTATAACTATGGAGGTCGAACTTCTGTCGAACTCCCCGAGCTCGCTGCAAGACGGCGCTTTTTGATTCAAAAGCCACTCCGGATTTGGGCGGACCCAATGGATAGATATCGACAAACGATTGGTAATACTCACCCGCTTTCTGTTACGTCTTCATTGCGATTTTTATTTTGTTACCTCCAATAGGTTCAATAAATCCAACAAGAGACCCTTCCACACCTCGGCTCCTTGACGCGATCAAACCTTGGCTGTCGCAGGGATACAGATTGCGCGAGGCGAACAACGCATGTCGCGATCTCCATCAGCAATGAGGTGCTATTACGCACCCGTGGCACCCCCACGCACCCCCCTGAGGTCTGCTGCTTAGAGGATATAATATAAAAGGTCTCACTGGTCCTTTTCTTAGTGCCATAGCAACTGGATCCCTGATTCGCTCCTGCGCAACTTCATCTTGTGGACATTGGTCCCGGACTCTGCCTCCGCCCTGCGATGTCAACATCACAACAGGCATTATCATCCAGCTCCTATCATCACGTTCAACTGATTATGTGCAGAATCATTTGGTCTAGGTTCTTGAGATCGCCCAAAGACAGGGTTTCGCCAACGACGACCTGAGCGACTGCCAGCGCCGTTCCCTCAGCTCCTGCAATGTTATCGCGGCGAATTGTAACACTGCCTGCAGATACTATGATCTGCGTTCATTAAGGAGCTTTCGCCCAAAAAAGAACTCATTAGGGCCAGGGTGAGAGACCCATTGCCATGCTTTCGCAATCGGCTCAGTTATTGACGTTACACGGGACGGCATCACGACATGGCTGAACACCGACGCTCATGGGGTCCAAAGGGTTGGCACAGGCGGACATACCCTCCTTCCAAAGCAATCGAACTGTCATGGTTGCGGGCGTATGCAAGTTGACGTGCTCATCTTAGAAGATTCGCAATCATGGCCTCCAAGACGTGATCCGAGGCCCCCGGTTGGGAATGCAACTCTCCATGTGGCATGAACGATCCGACAATCTGGATTCTTCGCTGTGAAAAAAAGAGATAAGGGCGGAAGGACCCCTACCTACTAATCGAAATATCGGATCCAAGGAGAACATATTTCTTTTCAACTTTAACAAAGACAACATGTCTGGAGCCGGAGCACCACCCCCTCCTCCACCTCTCAAGAGCAATGCCGACCTGGGCATTGCGAACGACAAAAGAGCCGAACTTGTTGCAGACCACAAGGGCCTGCATTCTCCATCCTCGTCCGAAAGAGATGAAGACAGTGTTGATCTCAACAAGGAAATATATGATAGCACCGCGATCGATCCGGTGTTGGCGAAGAAGATGGCGCTCGCCAACTCGGCCATTGATGAAATCGGGATGACACCGTTCCAGTGGAAGTTGTTTTATCTCAATGGATTTGGCTATGCAGTCGACTCGGTAGGGAAACTTGGATCTTGTCTTTCGCTTCTTCTCACGAGTTCATAAGCCTAACAAACGAGTGGTTTGAAGCTTCTCATCGTCTGTCAATCAATCGCTGGGCCTGCCGTTGCTCAAGAGTTCGGAAACCCGACGCCGCGCCTGGCCGGGGTGGCTCTCGCTTCTCAAGTAGGGCTGCTCTTCGGTGCTGCAATCTGGGGCTTCAGTGCCGATGTTATCGGGAGACGTCTGGCATTCAACTCGAGCCTGTTCCTCTGTGCGATTTTTGTCCTCATTGCGGGCGCCATGCCGAGTTACGTTTCGTTCTCTGCAATGTAAGCAAAGCTCCTATGCAATCTACCTAAACTATTGGGCTCTTGATGTGAGGCTTACGTTCTTCTGATAGGGTCGCTATTTACTCTGCCGGTGCCGGTGGCAACTATATCCTCGATGCGACGAATTTGCTCGAGTTCTTACCCTCCTCGCACGCTTGGCTGGTCACATTCATGGCAGTATGGTGGGCTATCGGCTATGCAGTAACAGGATTCCTGGCCTGGGGCTACATGAGCAATTACTCCTGTGCCCCTGATGCGTCACCAGCAGAGTGCAACTGGGACGACAATTGGGGCTGGCGCTATCTACATTTCACCTGCGGCTCCCTCGTCATCGTCCTCGCATTGGCCCGGCTTATCTTTGTCCGCATGCCTCAGACACCTAAATGGCTGATCTCTCAGAATCGTGATGAGGAAGTAATTGCCAATCTTCAGAAAGTGGCCAAGGATTTCAATCGGCCCCTATCTCTTACTCTGAAGAGGCTTCAGAGGGAAGGGAGAGTGTTGCACACGGACAAGTCGGCCTTTTCTGCTCTACGACTGCGACAACATTTTTCACAGCTGTTTAAAACCAAGAAGCTCGCATATTCGACTGTCATGATAATCCTCAATTGGGTAGTCATTGGTATGGTCAGCCCTCTGTTCGGTGTTTTCCTACCATATTATCTGAAGAGCCGGGGAGCGGATGTCGGGGGAAATGACAACTATACAGTCTGGCGCAACTACGCATTGAACCAAGTCAGTGGCCTTTTTGGCCCCATCATCGCCGCAGTTCTCGTCGAAACTCGTGCCATCGGGCGTCGTGGCACTCTCGCAATTGGTGCCGCCATCACCACTGCGCTTCAGTTCGGATATACACAGATCAAAACCCCAGCGCAAAATGTCGGCGTTTCTTGTGCCATTTCGGCCGCATCCAACATCTACTATGGCACGATATACGCCTACACTCCAGAGATCCTTCCCGCAGCTCACCGTGCAACGGGCTATGCCATTTGTGTTGTCTTGAACAGGGTTGGAGGCATCGTCGGAGTGCTAGTCGGGAGCTACGCCAATGTTGAGACCACTGCACCGCTTTTCGTCTGTGGTGGCTTATTTGGGCTCTTGATTGTCCTCAGCCTAGCACTGCCCTTCGAGAGCATGGGCAAGCGGACTGTCTAAGTCCATCTCCGTTGGGTGCAAGATCGCTGTCACTTGGGTTCGCTGGCACATTGGCTCAACATAGTGATAGTTTCACGATCGGGTTAGTATTGGAGGTGGCCTCAAACAATCGCTAGCCTGTAAGGAGCTAGAATCGCAGAGTTTGCCCCGAGGATATAGATTCCGCAAATGAACTGTCTGGGTTCCAGGATCGAAGTAGTATCTACTGTAGCCCTCCGCCGGTCTGGGGTCCCTGTTGGGGTTTAACAAAACTACCATTGCCCTCGCTTCAATAAGGCTTTCCGAGAGCTATTTGGAGATAATACAGTGAATAGCGAGAGACTATATCATTACACTAATTAACACTTCCCACTTCCCGCTCCCTCGGATTCCAACCGCCAATTCTTCAGCTCAACGTTAAACTACAGTCCTATAGTCCTACAATTTATCCTCTAGACGAGATGGACATCTCAACGTTTTCTGGACAACGTCGCATAGGGTCAAAATCGCTGCAAAGTGACTTACGAAATCCCACGAAATCCGGGGCCCCGTAAAGCTGTTTGTGTTTGTCTGGGGTCTAGGTCTGAATTTGGGGTTTGTAAATGATGGTGACTAGCCTATGCTAGCATCATAGCGCTTATCAGTAATCAGCCTACTACCAGCGACAAACTTATTGCTGAAGGAGCATACTGGAGTATGAAACGGTGATATTCGGGAGGAATTCCAGGACTGCACCTGCATGATCCCAACTCATCCGGATCCGTTTCAGTAGAGATGATTCAAGATGGTCAAAGCCGTAAGAAACGACAACATATCCTCCTCCCTGCCACGAAGTCGGAGTCCATCTCTGTCATAGTACACTCTTCGCGCTTATATAGGGGGTTATCTATAGACTATGTCTACATGCATCCCTTTCCCTTCTAGTCATTAACAACTCACTAACTGTTATAAGTATTCAACGCCTTTTTAATGTGTTGATTAACTCAAATCTTGACACACAGTTATACTGCTGGATAAATATCAACGTAGATTATTCTGTCGGTTTACGTTGTAGCTTGCCAGCCTGTTAGTATCTCAGCGAAACTCCAAAAGGAGAGAAGCTTTTGCATACACACAGTATACTATAGTAATAAGAACAGTGAATTTAATCGATTGCTTTTTGTGCGAACGAGATCGGAAGAAAAATCCGGCGGAAGGAAACTGAGGCCAACAGAGAGGATCTGTACGATAAGTATACCGGCCACGAAGCCCGGCTACTTGGATCCCTAGAGATATAGCTTTCGTACACCCATTTCGCGGAAGGGTTCGGTCGCGAAGACCTGATAAGCCGTTCAAAATTGGTGCTTTGTAGATTCGGGCCGCCGTAGACTGGATGACGGGTCTTTATGACGGGGAACACAGCCGCACGCAACTCCGATGTGGTGCTGACAAATGTGCCGAATACAAGTGCGTAGAGAGCCTCACATGGCGGCGTAGGCCGGTCAGAGCACATAGAGTGTTCAAGAACATATTTGTTCATCTACTTCTGAACGCTGCCCGAGGGCGGTAACCGACAGGCAGCTTAAGTAACTAGGTACTAAGTACTCGCGGTCAGCCTAAGTAGATGCACAATCAAAGAGTTGAAAAAGAAGTGTCAACAGCAGTAACCGCATCCACGGATGTCGGGTGGCCGGGTGTGTACATGTACGGAGTATCCACGTCGACGGTCCAATACCTTAACATTGCCGCCGGCCGGCAGCGGTTCACGGTCTCTCAGATTTCAGACACTTCAAATTGATCGGTAGTGAATACAATCTTCGTTGAATCGTGAAGACTTTAGGCTCTCAGATAGAGAGTCGAGTTGATATCTTTCGGTTTCTTCAATGGCAGACGATGCTCAATATCCCGTGGTGAACACTACTACAGGCCCTATGAAAGGATTTGTTGACACACACAGGTTGTCGGTGCACTCGACGGTAAAGGAGCAAACGAAGGGCGACCGCGTTCCCATTCGAAAATGGCTAGGCTTGTAGGTGCTTTCGCCCGTTACCCCCCATTATCTACCGACTATGAGGCCGTTAGAGGTTAACTTGCCGGTCGTGAAGGCCCTACGCTCAAGCGGGCCGTTAGGAGAGACTACAGGATCCCACGAGTTGAGCAGAGCCTAAAGAATGCTTCGAATTTAGCCCGTCTTTTCTACAGCTGTTCAACCCTTTAGACTTTTTGTATAAGGGTAAAGATGGCTGGCTTACAAGAGAATTCTTGGGTCAGAGTGAGGACGCTTTCACTATTAATGTGTTTGCGCCCCTTAAACACCAAACCACTCCCTGTTCTCGTATGTTGAACTCCTGGATTGAACTCATACCTTTCGGTCAGTATATGGAGAGGCTGATATTGTCGAACCTTAGGTTTAGTACCAGTAAGAGACAACACTAGGCAGTCACCCCGATAGACGCCGTCACTAACATTATTAACCTAAAAGTGGAGGCAATTTTAATTCGGGCGGTTCGAATTTCCCAGTCTATGACCCGACAGAATTTGTCCGACAGCAGTCAGAATCTGGTAGTCCTACGATTATTGTCACCGTTAATTATCGGTAAGTCTACCTAGTATGGATTGTCACTTACATAGATGTCGAGTTTGGGGCAGGCACTAATTGTTATCTTAAAACAACCAGAGTTGGTATCTTCGGCTTCCTCAGTACAGATGATCTTCTCGAGGTTAATGGCTTTCCAGGAAATTTCGGTAAGGAAATAGCATGCAAATTCACAACATCAGTCGACTATATTAGGACTACTACTCACAAAAGACTCAGGATTACATGACTGCATCCAAGCTTTGGAATGGACTCAGAAAAATATTGCCTCTTTCGGTGGAGATCCAGAGAATGTCACGGCCATAGGCGAGTCCGCAGGAGCGTTTACCATTAGCATACTTCTGCATTCGGGAAGAAAGCTCTTTCAAAAAGCGATCCTTCAATCAGGAAGCCATACGGTCATGTCATACCGCCAGAAACCTTACTACCCTATCTACGACAAGCTTCTCGGCCTGCTTGGAGTCGATCCCAGCCTTCCTCCCAAGGAGCGCGTGGCCGGGCTGAACAACGTCCCGATGGAGGCCCTGCGAGAAGCAGCAGGCAAAGTGTTCATCCCAGATATTTGGGGCATTACCGCTGACCCCGCTGAACAAGGTTGGAAGACTTCGGTCTGGGGCCAACTTGAAAGGGGTACGACGTCTACCTCCTCCCACTCAAGGTATTTGATTTGCTAACATCGACGGCCCAGGTGAGTATGATCCCTGGATCCAATCTATCCTAGTCACCTTCAATGAGGACGAAGGTACATTCTTCAGCAACCGGGGAAAGGTAAGTCCGAGTGTTTTCATTCGCTCAGTTACGGAAGTTGATACTGATCTCGATGGATTTAGTGGTGGGAAGGAGATACATTGAAACATGTCCTAAAAGCTCGAGGCCTCCTTCCCAGTGATGAGGCGTACTTACAATTCCGGCAACTGTACGGCGACGACAGACTTTCCGAGGACAAGTCTAACGTAAAGGATCTTCCGGCAACTAAATTTCTTCGTGAGTAGTATCCCAATTTATGACTGGAGGACGTTAACTGAGAGAGCATAGACGACTCTACATTTGTCGTCCCAACCTACCAGCTCGTCAAAGCTCTGAACTAGGTCCCGAATATATATTCTGGCAAGAAAGCCTAGGTTTATGTTGGTCTGTTCGATTATATACCCAGCCGACTTTTCAAGAACTAGGAATTTTTGGGGATTCTCCATACTGGAGAAATCCCGCTAGTTTTTAATGCTGCGTCCTTGTGGTCGTACGATGACCAAACCGTCGACGCGAAGACCGCTAAAACGGCGGGGAAATATTGGTCCTCATTTGCCAGCTCAGGAGATCCAGGTGCGTTTTCCTGTTTCAAATTGATAAGCTGCCATTTTGCGCTTCCGTCTCTGACCCTGTCACAGGATGGGGAAAGTGCACCTTCGAGAATGGCCATGCGGTCAAGATCGGTGCGGGCGGAAAGACTACGCCATTCAACGTCTTTAAGTACCACAAGGCTGAGCGCGATTTCTTCTATCCCATAGTTAAAGCGCTTTACACCGCTAGGGATCCATAGATAACACTACCCCAATGAGACGACATATGTTATCATTACAAGCATCTTAGGTATTTAATTCTAGTTTGAATTATGTGAAGCTCAGGATAAGAAGCTACAATAGCCCAAAGAGAGCTGTAATAGCTATCCAGTCTTGTCGTTTGGCTATCGTGGCCACCTAGGTAGTCTAAGGTATGCCAGCATGAGTGGGTACGCAAATGAGAAGGGAAAACACTCTCCAATCGGCAGGCTGGAAATCTCGGGCCGTGCTTCATGAACACTTACTATTGGACACTTATAACGGCACACTTCTTATCGCCCCACACCTGTACATCCATAAAGCTGTAAGAGAAGAGAACCTATAGATGAATCGAGGTGGGATCAAGATTACATGAAATCTCACGATTTCAGCAAGTCTCCCAGAAATTGTTCTCGAGGTTGCTCCGATTTTCATGCCTATCTACAACACAGGGAATAACCAAAGCGTAGACACAGGAACAGGCAGAGTACGAACCCAGTCGCAGATGCATGTAATGCAAGTACTGAATATTTATTTTGGAAGAGGCTGTGAAGATATAGCCGTGTGACTGCTGTAGCTTCTGTAACCCAACTTCTTGACTTATACTAATAAATATTCGATTTGCGATCACTCTTGAAGTATTACCAAGATACCACCCTAAGATTGTTGGAGGTCCAATGGCGAATCTCTTTGCCCCAGATGAGGAATGGTATGGCGCAGAGCTCGATGGCAAGAACGATACCTCCCATAGCACCGAAAGCCTATCGCCCACGCATTAGTTTGCTACTCATTGCCCAAGGACAGAGGATCAACGTGACTTACCTTAGCGTAGCCGCTAAGTGTGATCCAAGGGACGATAGCATAAGAAAATCCGAAAGCGAAGATGGATTTCAGCCCATTCACCAGCAACACGGCTTCTGGTGCAACAGAGTAGTATGAATCAATCACATAGATCAGCCCGACGCCAGTGAGGGCACAGGCGACGAAATTGATGACACCCAAGCCAATGAACATTGTTATCCAATGCAAATGCTCCTATACGCCGAATCCGAAAAGCAGTTGGCCCACCGGTGTAAGTAGAACTGGCAAAATCAAGACTAGCAGCCGACTCTCTAGGACGAAGACTCCATTGTTGCGGCGAGCATGCCACTGCAAGACATAATCGGTGACAGGCCCGCCAACTAATGAACCGAGCAGGTTACCCACTAACAAAAGGATTAGGAAAGGGATGTGTAGCATTAGCCACAGTAGGAACAACTTACTAGCTCCAGCAATGTTAATCAGGCCATTAATGCCCGGACTCCAATTATAAGGTGGTGCTTATAGCACGAATGAGTTCAGAGTGGTGCAAGAAATCACAGCAGATAACGACACCGAAACTGCGACAGAGTCAGCCAAATGGATGGAATCACGGGAGAGCCAACATACTCGCCAGGAAACCCCATACCACTGCAGGGTAAATAATCAGTGGGAAAGGCCGGATGAAAAGTTTCCAGAAACTCGCTTCAGAGATCACACCATTATACAGCGAGAGGGTCTTCAGATAAGGCTTTTTCACGTAAAAGTTGTCCGATTCTCGTTCCGCGTTGCTTTCGTCAATTAGTTGATTTTCAGAGCCCTCTTTCTCACCTCCGTAGGTTTATGCAGTCGTTGCAGAAGTCACTTGAGCTAGTTTATGGCTGTCGATCGACTTAACTTGTGAGATAGCCTTGTCATCACTAGTGCCGTCTATACCACTAACGACTTCAAGTCCTCCCAGATTGAGGCCTCGAGGATACGCTATCTCAGGAACGAAAAAGGAAATAGTAAGAAAATTCAGGCCACTAGCGATTGCACTAACCCAGCAGAACCACCGCCACCTAACGGCTTAAGCCAAGTATTAGCCAAGCTTGAAACAGGGGAAAAGGGGGCCACGTACATTAGATAACGAACCCGCCAAATAGGGGGCCGATCGCATTCCCCCAGGAAAGGGCCACTGTATAGATGCTAACTTAGAGGCCGCGCTCGTGTAGGAAGAACAGATCCTATGATTCACAATAAGAATAGATGGAGACAAAGCTGATGGAGATACACGGATAACAATTCACTTACATTAACGATGATTGCGCCGACTGTCTCGGTTAAAACACTAGCGAAAAAGCTAACGAGGCGGGCGGCGAGGAGACTTCCGTACGAGTTCGATTTCGCGGACCAGATATTGCAGACAAATGACACTAGGCAGGTAAAGACAAAAACGAGTCTTTTGCTAATATAGTTCGCCAGTGGAACCCAAACAAAATTCTGAAAAAGATGAAATCAGCAGAGTGGTTCCTTAGTGGAAAGGCGCTGTCGCTTACTCTAAGGCCGCCGACTAGCGGGGTGAAAGTCATCAAACCACCGATGGCGGTCATGGATTTGTTAAACTCGGTGCTCAGTTCAAAGAAGGCTAGTGTTAGTCCGCCCATGGAAACATTAACCATAAAGGTAAAGAAATAGATAGTTAAGAAGATGACATATTTTCGCCATTACGGCTAATTTAGAGGGTCGTTCGGGTCCTTAGAGGGTTGAGGGATGAGGACAACGTCCGTCCCTTTCTTATGGCTATACGCTACTACCTCTATGTGTTCTAACTATTAGCCTTTACTTTAGGGGTATCTAGGCCAAGGAAAACAAACAAACTTACGCTTAATAAGCTGGATACTTCCTTCGGAATAGTCGAGCTCCTTTAGTGTTCGGAGACGTATAATGAAGATAGGTTAAGTGTTACTTACTTAGGTTGGACGAGCTGAATTTCCACTACTTAGAAGGATTGATAGACTTCTAGATGTCGAGATACTACGCTGTTATAGGTAAGTATCGAAGCCTTCCTGAAATAATTATATTCGATTAAAAAAAGAACCTCGAGCACTCGCCAGTCCCGGCCCGATCACTCGAGGTTAGCAGCGTAGAGCCTCTGATGCCCCCGCGTTTACTAATATACCTACGAATGCCTTATCTTAACCTAGTCCGTACGTTACTAGTCTAGAAAGCTTCTCGGCTCGGTGATAACATCCCTATGGCGGTGTTAATGTCATTTTATCCTAATAAGGACATTCGCACTATAGTAACCTCTAGGCACCTAGTATTTCACCCCGGGTGATCCTATCTCTTCTTCCTTCATAACTAACTATACCGTAGTTCTGTCTTTCTATACCCCGAGTGTCCGAGTATAAGCTCCTAGAGGAGAATATTATCGCTATGGGGTCCGAAGCTATAACTCCAATACTAACCTTCCAACTCTCGGTGTGTTGTCCGGAAGGGCAATAAGCGGTGCGGTCCTTACGCGAAGAAAAATATCTCCTATGGCGGGACTTTCTCGCAGACAACTGTTACAACCTGGCCCAAACAAGGACCCAAGAAGAAGCGGAAGGGCAAAAGCGTGCAAAGGTGCTAAGGCGCGGCTAGACCCGAAAGAGGAAGCTGGACTACATACTCTGTGGTGGACTACAGCAGAGCAGCACAGAGCACTACAGAGCACCACGAGTTTCCTTTCTATATAATCGAGGTAGTTTTCATAGTTCTCCTTCGTAGTCAACTTCGTTTACAAATAATCGAGTTCCTCTCGGTTATACGCTTTACGTATAGCTCGCATACTATACTCTTGGTTTCGTCTCAGCTACTCCATCCCACTACTATATTACCAAGTAAACCTTACAGGGTTTGCTAGTAACACCTCACGTGTGAAGCGACTCGTAATAACAACGTTTGACAAATTGGAAAAAAATTAAGAGTTACAATAGTTGCGCAAGGAAGGGCGGCGATTGATGCGATATATCGATCACCGTAGGCGAAATACTCGTTGCCTAACTTCTAGGTGCTAATATTAATGTAAATCTAAACTTCTAATTAACGGGATTCAAGCAACGAGAAAAGAATACATGAGAACATCAACAGCCTCCACTATATACGCTGTAGAAATGAACAGCATCGAATTGACTTACTAGATCTCCCTCGATACATACAAAGCGACTAATACGCCCGGTATATGTGCCAGATTCACTGACAATTAAGCTACTATTCAAGCGATGGCCAACCCAAAATGCCCGTCTAGATACTATGTTCTAGCAGCCGTAATCCAGGCGCTCGATAGACTTCGAGGTCAAGGATGGGATTTTCAACTCCGCTGAATACCCGCACATATTGGGGGTGACCAGCAACACTTGTAAATGTGATTCTTCAAGTGTATCCCATTAACCTATGGGCTTCTAGGTACTTATATACTTGTAGGCTTGGTCTGCCTATCTAGAGACAAAACTAAGTATATAGTATATAGTACTATATATATACTTAGTTTTGTCTCTACTACCTATACTACTACTATATTACTAGGTAAACTACCTAGGGTTTACTTATGGTACCTCATGTGTGAAGCGACTCTTAATAAGTACCTATTATAGAAAAAATCTCAGTATCCTTCGATAGGTACCATTAAGTAGGGTAATAGAGTTACGCGTTTTATTTCTCTATGGTTGATTTAGACGCTTTTCGTCTACGCGCGGTCGAGGTACTGATAGCGATGTGGTAGGACGGTGCGAAGAGTAATGGGAAGAGCGGGGGTCTAGGGGATCGTGGGTATGTGCTGTTAATGCGAAGCCACGTGAAGTCCTATGGGCGTTGTGCCTCCGCATCGTGATGTATGCATCCCCTCAACGCCTGAAGACCGCCATGTGATTCCGCGCACAACAAGCCAAATGAAATGACGTTGAGTTTTTGCAGCGAAGTTCTTCCTTCTTTTGACATATGTCCGCAGAGCCTTAGAGAACTGATGAGCAGATCAAAGTAACAGAAGTAAAAGTATATCGTCAGACAATTACCATTTATTTTCATTCGCTCCTGAAGTTCCGATTGTTTGATCAACCGGAACTTGTAGACGCCGACTGCCGATCATTATCAAATCTATATGGGGTCATCAGTGCGGCTGCTGCCTTCTACTTTCCTAGGTATGCTTCAAATCTTCCGTCTCACAAGATGGCGCAAATTGGGTTTGACTTGACCCGGGCCGAAGAAATCACTCACTATCAGTTTCGTGATAGAGGGCTTCTTTATGAGGCATTGCAAAGCGCAACTAGAGACAGAGATGAACTGACTGGCGAGATCCATGAGTCCGATGGCAATCGGCGTCTTGCAAAGTTAGGATTTGCCGTCCTGGAGCTGGCGGTGGTTGATGAGTGGTTCAGACGAGGCATGAGCCATCGTGCGTTAAGATTGAATTTTACCGCCCTACTTAGCTGGTATAGTGACGAAGATCAGGAGAGCTTGACTTGCTGCGAAAGAAATTCCTGGCCAAGGACTACTTGTCCGATGCCGCGCAGCAAAAAGCGCTACATACCTGCCTGTCGATGTCTCAGCGGCAGGAAAACATTGCTGCTCCCCCGACGACTATGAAACTGGTCTTGACTGCCGTAGTGGGCGCAGTGTGGCTTGATGCAGACTTGGATATCAACGAGGGTCTCAATAATGTGAAGTGGGTCATGCAAACTTTTGGGTCAGTGCGCCTTTGCTGTTCATGAGGACTTCTATTCACTAGCGTACATCGACAGATTCTTTGATTGGGAGTTCTTGAACTATATCGATTAGAGCAACTATGTAGCGCGAGCGTGGAACGTTGAAGGCTGATCGAGCAAGCCTCTGCAGAGCTGGCGGCGTTGATATCTGGATGATCAATTGGGAGTATTAAAGTCTCCCGCAACACTCCCAGTTGATCATCCAGATATCAACGCCGCCAGCTCTGCAGAGGCTTGCTCGATCTCAGCGGGTATGTCAACTACAGACCTCGCCTCCGCTTCCAATAGCTGCTCGTCGGAATCCAATTTCACCTTCAGATCTGCAAGACTGTTATCCAACCTGTTTCGCCTCCTCATCAGATCCGCGTATGTTAGTTGACTCTGTCTGATCCGCTTCTTCAGTGTGTCAATGCTTCCATGGTGCTCTTTTCTCTTGTCGATCAAACCACGTATTCTCTTTGCTAGGGCTTGAGCCCTCTCTTGCCCGATACT